AAAAAAGCTGGTAGTTTTAGAAATGTGATTTTCATTACAATGAAGAACTTCACACCAAATAGTGTGTATACGCTCTTCGAATTGATTAAGAGGAGTATCAGATTTATCAGACGATAACAAAGTCGATAGAGAAAAGTCGGGTGAAGGAAGTTGTTTTCTGTCGATTTTTCCATTTTGATTCAAAGGTAATTTATCAAGAATAATAAATATTGACGGTATCATATGTGGTGGAAGATGAGATTGGCAATGTTGACGTAGTTGTTCTTCATTGATATCGGAAGATTGAACATATGCAACTAAATAATCATCTTTCCATTTCATGACGACACAAGCAGAGATGAATGTAATGTTAAGTAAACATCGTTCTATTTCACCAAGTTCAATTCTTTGTCCATGTAATTTGATTTGATGATCTTTTCTTCCTTGATAATGGAGAAGGCCATTATTATCTATTCTGACTAGATCACCTGTTCGATAAAATAGTCGACCATCTATTCGAATAAGAGCTTTTGTAGTTAAATCATCACGTCCAAGATAACCAGCAAACACACCCACTCCTCCTACAAGCAGTTCTCCTTCTTGGCTGACAGCAGATGACTGGAAATATTTATTCATAATCATGCATCGATAATTATAAAATGGTCTACCAATTGGAATGCTCTGTATGCTATTTGTAACATCTACACAATGCATTGTAGAACCTATGGTTGCTTCTGCTGGACCATACAAATTCCATAGAATACAGTTCGTTATACCGATTTTCACAATTAAATCAATTAAGGGAACAGAAAAAGGTTCACCTATAACAATAAACATACACTGGATAAACGAAAAATAATTGCTTTAGAAGTCACATACCACTACTACAAAGTGATCGAAGATGTTTCAAGACATTTTGATTATTACTTTGTTCGGCAAAATTAAAAAAACCGTGTAGTAAACTTGGTACAGTGTGTAGATATGTTATTTGTTTGTTCTGTAACACTTCGGACAGATAATCAAAATCAATAGTTCCACCTGGATGAAGCATAATCAACGTGCCTCCGACTAATAATGTACCAAGTATTTCTTGAACATGAATGTCAAATGAACTTCGTGTCATTTGTACAACTGTATCATCTTTATTAAATGAATTAATGTATGTCAAAGAATGCATAGAATTAATAAAGTTCTTATGTCGAACTTGAACCTATCAAATAGCATGGAAATCGATCAAAAATCATATAGATAAGTGCCAACAAACCGCTTTGGGTGTTCCAGTTGAACCACTAGTGAAAATAATATACGCTATCTCTTCACCTTTCACTATCACACTTGAAAGACAGTTATAATCCATGTCACTATTTAGATCGTTAATAATTAATATTGCATCAATATCAAGTGAAACAATATCACCATCGAATTTAGTTTTAGTTAAATGATGAACAAGAACAAGACGACTTTGAGTTTGTTGTGTGAGTGCATGTAAACGATGTTGCGGATCTCGAGATGATAATGGACAATAAACACCACCAGCCATTTCAATTCCCATAATACCAATCACCTAATCGAAATCAATTTCAAACTCTTATCAATAATTATTTCTTCAATGAACTTACCATTGACAAACTTCTCCCAACACACTGACACACGATCTCACCTGGAGACACATGATATTCATTAACAAGCGTTAAAGATAACAATTGAACATAATATAACAGTTCACAATATGTTAACGATTGTTCATCTAGTTCAACAGCTAGTTTCTGTGGATGCTTCAATACTTGATATACAAATTCAAGATGAATACAAGACACAGAAGGAAACGATATTTGTGTATTATTCATTGATTGTATGAGTAATCTTTCATTTGATAATATTATTGATAATTCATGAATAGGTTTGTTTGTTTTACTATCAAATGGTATGAACTGTTGATGTAACATTGTTTGTAATCTTCTTGCAATTATACAAACTGTTTCAGCATTAAATAAATCAACCGAAGCATTAATGGTGCATGAGAATTCATTGAGATTCAGATCATGTTCAAAACTAAGAATGAAATCAAATTTACTCATTATTTCATCTTCACTAATTTTAACTGAAAAGGGTAGTAAAGAAAATCGATTATCACCAATCATTATTTCATTTTCCTCATCTCTTCTCATAGATGATACAAAGTCAAACGATGTATCAAGAAAGACAGGATTTGATATATTTGGATGTTGATTCAGAATACGTTGGAGAGGAAAATATGAATATTTATTACAATTTATCATAATATCTTGAACGTGTTCCATCAGTTTATGAAATGATAAATGAGGATCGAGCAGACATCGCAAAGGTATGGCATTCACAAACATTCCTATAATAGATCTAAGTTCATCTCTATATCGACCATGTGTATTTATTCCAATGCATAAATCTTTTTCTCCATTTGTTAATTTGAATAAAAATACATAATAAGTAGCAAGTGCAAGTTGTTCCAGTGATATATTACTTGATGATGCATAGATAAGAAAGTCATGTGAGAGATCTTGACCAAAATCAAATGAAACAGATGTTCCACGACCAGTTCGATGTTCATTTGAGAGGCGATATCGGTCGAATGGTAATGACAAAAGTTGATCAAGTGTACAGTTATGAAGAGCATCAAGCCAAAACATACTTGCACCAGTCATTGACATTTGTTGTTCAATAACAGCATCTACATAAGTAAAAAAATAATGTATTAAAGGAGAGAAAAGTAGAAGTCGTATTTATATTTACAATCGAGATAACGCAGAGTAGTGTTGTCATCATATAGTAATTGCCCTGTTGTGTATGCTTGGTTGAGATCATGAAGAAAGATATTCATTGATGGAAAATCAAACAAAGCATGATGAAAATTGAAGATAAGTACATCTTTGTGAGAAAGCAGATGATTTGAAGAGATTTGTTTATAATAAATAATATGACATCGAAACACAAGACCTTGAGCAAGATCAAAAAGTTGAGGATTACGTCTCTCATCGTGTAAAATCTGATTCAATTGTTCATCTGTTTCATAAGTGCTTTCAATAGATGTAAAAAGTTGTGTACTGTTATCGTTCATATCAATGATTCGTTGCATAATCAAGTGTTTTCCCGTATCGAAGAGAAGTGATGTATGAAGTGAAGGATGTTTGTTAATAGTGAGATGGAGAGCATGACGAAGTTGTTTAATCGATAAAGTATGATCTGGTTGCAGACGATAAACAAAAGGCATATTATAGATTGCTATTTGTGGCTTGTCCGGGTCGAATCGAATTCTTTCGTCAAGCCATATACGAGCTTGTGCAAATGATGCTGGTGCTATATGAAAGGGGAAGAAATCAAATATGATTAATGATGTTGTTTATGAAATCTATTATATGTGGGATTGAATTACTATCGAGTTGCTCTAAGAATAGAACTTTTAAATAGTATAACTAATGTTGTTGTGTGCGATGGCAGGTGGACTATTATATCGATCATTCATTAGAAGCTTGAAATAGATAGACAAATGAAATACGTCATCATGATGTTTTTGATACATAATCTGTTGCATTTTCTTTTGAATGCTTTAGTATTTCTGACTGTTGAATTATGGAAGTTTTTAATATGGCAGAGTAACGTGTCGAAAAACGTTTGAGAAATTGAAGGACATTTAAGAATAATACAAAACTTTTGTGAACAAATATGCTGTATTATTTTAAGTGGAAGACACAGATGTTCATGGAGCAGGGTTAGACAAAGGTTTATGGGTGATATAAATGCTTATTTTAAGCGCAAGAATGACGCTTGTGTCAATAATGCTGTTTTTCAAAGGAAGAAGAACACAAATTGTAGAATATTTCACATTATCTCAGTCAGTTACAGAAAAACCTTCTGGAATAATAGATTCCTTTTGGTATGTATGAGAAAAATCTTGAGGGTGGGTGTGAGTGTAAGTATGTATATGAATAGAGAATCCACGTTCACATCTACCGATAGTTGCACGCCCACCGTATGGCTGCGTACTGGTTTTCAGATGATCTGTATGATATGCGATCATATTTTCAGAGATGTTTTTGCGTAATATATTGCTTGTCATTAGCAATGCTAACTATGAAAAACGTCATTTCTAGTTAAACATACCTTCATTCATTATATCTGATTGTCGACAAAAGATAGCATTTTCCATTTCTTGAGTTTCTTCTGGTACAATGAGATCAACTTTTGATATAGATATATAACATGTATCAATTCGATTGATAATTTCATTCGATGAAAACACTTGTTGAAAACAATATTCTAATCTTCTACCGATATTTGTAACTGTAATCTCATCAAATAAATCATGTGAACAAGTTAAACGGAATGATAATCTATTATTTTCCAACATTGGATTATAGGTAAATGTTACCATAAAATCAAATTTAGCCACTTCAAACGATTGTTTGAACGAGACTTGTTTGAAACTTGTTCCATCCAAAGATAATTCTTCGCTGTGTGACGATATTGTTATAAAGTCAAACATTGTTTCAAGAAATGAACTATTTGATTGATTAATATGTAAATTAGCAAGAATATGTTGAAGTGGATAATGAGAATGTTCAAGAATTGATAAACATTTCTTTCGTACATATTCAACGAGATCATCAAACGACCGATGAGGATCAAGTTGAATACGATATGGCAATATTGACACAAACATTCCCATTATACTCTGCAGTTCAGTTTTGTGTCGATTAGCATTAAGACAAGAAATACATAAATCATTTTCACCATGAGTTAACTTGAAAAGAAAAGCATATAGTATACTCAAACCTAACTGAAATGGTGTCACATGATGCAAAGAAGCATAATCAAGAAATGATTGTGAAATCTCATTGTCAAAAGAGATTTGAGTGATAGAAGCACAACTAGACCGTTGATCATTAAATAAGCGATGTCGATCAACTGGTAGTAATAATCGATATTCGAAATTGTATTCTTCTAACTGTGAATACCAAAATTCACGAGATATTGTCATATCGATTAGACGTTCATGTACACTATAATCAATATATTGCAATGATTCATCATCATCTTCTATTGATATTGTATTAGTATTATAAGCTAAATATAGATCACTGAAAAAGATTGAACGACTTGATCGATCAAATGCTGCATGATGAAAAGCAATGAGGAGAACATCAGAATTCATTATGAATTCATTGCTATTGTTTTCATTTTCATCTGATGATATTTGATGTCTCAGAATTTCAGCATGAAAAACACACCCGATTGAAAAATCGAAGAAAGTAGGATTAATAGTTATTCGATGTATAATATCTCGAAGGTCAGTATCATTTTCAAATGTTTGATTCATAGTTATTGTGAATGTTTTATGTATATCTGTGATGCATTGCTTCAAACTACTATTGTCATTGTTCAAAATAAGAGATGTCCGTAATATTTTATGTTTATTCAAAACATATCGAAATGCTTGCAATAAACGACTGAATGATAATGATCCTTGAACAATTTGCAAAGTAAACAGTTCATTATAGACAGCAATATCACTTGAAAAACGAACTTGTTCATCGAGGAATATACGTTCTTGAGCAAAAGAGGCAACACCTGTCAATTAAATAATAGAATTTATTTTAATAATTTCTAACTAAATATTTTTACCTTCATTTATATGCAAAGTGTACCACTGTGTTGGCTTGATATTATTCAATATAACTGTTTGAAGTAATTGTGAATGTTGAAATATAGTTGGTTGTTGAAGAAATGGAGCTATCGAAAGTGTATGAGCATCAAAGTTAAATACTGATTGATAGTGATGATAAAGTTGAATAAATAAAAGTGAATGACCACCAACACTAAAAAA